TTTATTTTTAGTTTTTTTTTTTTTTTTCCGGTGGACACAACATCTTTATTTGTATGTGGTGCTGAGGATTGAACCCAGCGCCTCGCGCATGCCAGGCGAGTGCGCTACCACTTGAGCCACATCCCCAGCCCCAGCGGTTGTGTTTTAATCCACTCCTTTCACTTCTCAGCTAATAAAATGTTAGTTCTAGAAGAAACTTGAGAAAATATCCAACTGTGCCATCTTATTTTGCACCCAGATACAATATGCTAAGAAAGTGATGGGTGGGTGGGTAGGGTGAGATACTGCTCACTAAACTGGTGGGCAGGCTTCCCTTCTTTGGCCCATGTCCCTGAGAAAATGGAAAGGCAATAAGATGAATGTGAATCTTTATTTTATCTAAAAATTGAGGTAAAGGGAACTCTATAATAAGAAACCATCTGCACAGTGGAAAATGGAAAGGCCCAGCTTCACTTCAGGCTCCACGATGCTCCAAAGAAGAAATCAAATTTGGCCAAGGTTAGCCATGATCTTCTTGAGTTGATCGCACTCCAGTTGGGACTAGCATTCCAAAGAGGAAAGTGGTCAATTAAGAGTTTGAGCCTAAAGCCCCCTGGAAATAGGTAATGCTACTGCTCCTGTCGCCTCAGCTTAAGCATGCACTCTGGTGTTTCTGGTGTTGGTGAGAAAATTGACCCAACTTCCCAGGCTCTTCTGTCACCCCCATTCCCAACCTGGGATTTGCTCAGTTCTTTTGTCCCATAGGATTGCTGATTCTCCATGTCTTCAAGAATGGTCTCTAGGTATGAACATCTTGTGCCATGAGCCAGCATCACATGAGGGTGTATCAAGGTTTCCAGAAAGGTCAGGAGGATCAGAGTAGGCAGCATTTGCAGCAGCAGCAGCCAGTCAAGAGGATAATCCTTTCAAGTTGGCCTTCTTGTTGGTCCCCTTTCAGTATGGCATGGATTTGGCCTGATAAAGCCATGGCTTTTCAACCAGCTAGCTACTCCCACTGGATTCCTAGAAGCTCACAGCTGACCTTCCACAGGCGCTCAGCTGTTTTGTTATTTCGGGCCCTTGAAGATACCCAAGTCCTCTTACAGTCACTGGAAGGCAGAGATGGGAGGAGAATATTAGATGTGAGAACTGGCAGTCTGGGAATGCTTGTGATCTCTTCCTCTAATGTTCTAAATATATTATACATAATGTACTAGATTCAAAGAAACCATATTAAAATGCATATTTTAAATTTTAAAAACAAATTTGGGATATGGTGATACATCAGCTTTTTAATTAATGTATTCTATCACAAGATATAGCATCAGAATTAATAACCATGGATTTCAAAGAATGGTGAGCAGAATTGGCATTGTGCTATATTTGTAATAACTGCAATGTTATATGAAAATATTTATACTAGAAGGCTAGAGGACTCAAAAGATAATGGGGAGGGATGGGGGAAACATAGTTCTCAGAATGGTTTTTAAAATTTTTTTGTTGTTGTTTTGTTGCTCTATGTGAGGGGAGGGGTTGTTTGTTTGTTTGTTTGGCAGTCTTGAGGAAGATTGAATCTAGGGTTTTGCACATGCAAGGCAAGTGATCTACCACTGAGCTACCTCCCCAGCCTCCCTCTTTTTTTTTCCCCAGCCCCCTTTTTTTTTTTGAAACAGTGTCTTACTAAGTTGCCCAGACTGACCTTGAATTTGAAATCCTTCTGCCTTAGTCTCCCAAGTCACTGGGATTACAGACATGCATCACCACTCACCACACCTGCTAACACTTGGCTTTTTTTTTTTTTTTGGTGGTGCTGGGGACTGAACCCAGGGCTTTGTGCATGCTAGGCAAGCACTCTACCAACAGAGCTGTATCCTTTTAATAGTATATTTTTTTCTAATTATGAAATTTCTGTATGGCTTTTAGAAAATGTAGTACTGATAAAAGAAGAAGAGTCTATTAATTAACTGCTTTTCTTCATAACTTTGTTCACTTTCTTCATGTATAAACAGATACAGTCTTTTATATAAAACTGGAATCATACTGCATTTAATTTGAGGAAGATATCTTTCTCCTGTTAAAAATATATTTAATTACAAAAATAACAAATAAATATATGATCTTCTAAACATTTTTAAATAATAAAGAAAAACCTAAAATAAAAAAGCTAAACTCCTCCTTTACATGCCATCCAACTCTCCCCCAAACTTCTTTGAAGTAAGCACTACTACCCAGTGGCTGGGTATGTATTTACAATAAATAATTATATAGTTTAGTATTATAGTCATTTTTTTCTCACAACATTATACAACCAACATTTGCCCATTAATTAAATACTATTTGAAAATGTTACATTTAATTATGGCAAAATATTTTATCACAACTTTATGGCAGTGACTTAAACACTGAGACTCTAGAGTAGATTTGTCCAACAGAAATATGATGCAAACCATGTGAGCCACACATGCAATTTAAAATTTCATCTAGTAGCCACAATCAAAAAGTAAAAAGAAATGGGTGAAATTGGTTTTAGTAATATATCTTAGTTAACCCATTATGGCCAAATCATTACAGTATGTAACCAATATAAAAATAATGAATGTCATATTTTTATTTCTTTTTCCATACTATGTCTTCAAAATTTGGTGTGCATTTGATACTTACAGAACATCTCCATTTGGACTAGCCATATTTCAAGTGTTCAATGGCCACACGTGGCTAGTAGCAATAGCACTAAATAGCACCACTCTAGAGTCAGACTGCCTGGTATAAACCCCAGTTCTACCATCTACGAGCTCTATGAACTTGAGCAATTCCTTCATTATCCTGTGCTTCAGTTTCATTTGTAAAGTGGTGATAATATTATCTACCTCTCAGAGTTTGATCATTGTATGAACTAATACACACAAACACTTAGAAGAGTGACAAACACATAAAGAGCTCAAGCAACATTAGTTATTAGCATTTATCCATTTCCCTGTTATTGGACACTGAGTTTATTTACAGTGTTTCACTTAAATGCACTGATGAACAGCCTTCAACAAAGTGGGACAGCAGAGAGGACTTAAGTCATGGAATGGGATGGGGATTTAATCCTGGTCTTTCCTTTATTCCCAAACTCAGGTTGCACATTGAGCTTGTGATAAGATACAGTACTGAAATTTCTATTTTTATATTCTAACAGATAATACCAATCTCAACAGCACTGGGACAGAGTTGACACTGGAGAAAGAGATGATCTTCTCCCAACAACTTTGTGCTAAGTGGTATCAAAGAATTCATGAATCAAATCAGCCAAAACTTTAAAAGAGGAGAAAAAGAATCCAGAGAGCCTGCTAACAATATTCTTTGCATATCATAAACACCAGGGACAGTCTTTAACAGCTTTCAGAAAGCTACAAAGTTTACATAGAAAAGCGGCACCTAGGTATAAAATAGAGCTATAAAAGCAGTTCTTTCTAACGTAAGTTTCCTTGGAAAAGAAAATGGAATTGTTTGCAGATCCAACCCAAACCTGTCTTCCATCATCAGACACAAATGAGGGGACTCGCAAAGCCTAGGGAGTCCTGTGTCTCACACATACACAGGTAGAGGAGGGTGGAGGAGGGAATCTACACTGCCGCCACACACCTGAAATACTTGCCACTCAGGGGCTCCAGGCCCTCAGCCAGGGCACAGTGCAGACTGGTCTGGGCCCCTTCCCTTGTGGTCTTGACAAATGGGGAAAAGAGCCTCCAGAACAGACACAGCAGGAATGAGTGCCGAACCAGCTCTGAGCTGACGATGCCTGGGTGAACTGCATAGGTGGTGACTCCTGTGCCTAAAGAAAAGACGGCACAGTGAGACTAGGCACATGCTCTGAGCTCAGGAAAGCAGCGCATCTCTGCAGCAAAACATATAAATAGGAAGAAAGAACTCAGGAAACCCAACCCCAGGGTCCAGAATTCACCACTGCTAGCCAGGCAGAGTGTACCCAAAAATGAATTGATCTCTTCCAGAATGATTTATAGCTTTCTCAGCCTTCTGTGCCTGGTTCAATGTCCTCCTATTTCAATGTCACCTTTATACCAGGGCTAAATTACTACTAATAAAAAAAAAACACGTAGTAAGTAGAAATATCAATTATTAACAGTTGTTTCTTTACCATTTCTATAGGAGGGGCTCAGGAGTAGTGATCTGATTGGAAGGTAGAGGAGCGGAGCCTAGTTTTGAGATGCATTTGCCCAGCAAACATATTTTATGTAGATTGAGGGTGTTGATGAAGATTATGGAAAGTTAACCTGCTCCCCAGACACCCCTGTGTAACCACTGTTTTCAGTACTTATTATAAAATACGCTTTACCTTCATTGTCTCATTTAATTCTTAAAGAGGTTTGTGAAGTAGGTAATATTAAGATGTCCATTTACATTTTATAGCTGAGGAAACTGAGTCACAGAGAGAGGAAATAAATTTCTCAAGGTCATACCTAGCAGATTATAGGACCAAGGTCTCATCCCAGAGGTAGAGAAAAGATCAGGGGCTCCAGACCTGGACTTTCTGGATGGTATTCTGGCTCATCTAGGAAACTCACTTGGGCAAATTTATTATCTATACCTGATTCTTCATTTGTAAGAGGAGGGGGAATAACAGCACCCACCTCATAATAATGTTGAGGATTAAATTATTTAACACAGAGTATGGCACAATAAACTCCCAATTGCTGTTCTAATTATTATTTATTTTTAGGATTACCCCGTTCTTCTGCCCTTGGGGTTCTGAAAGTAAACACTGTTGTTCTCAAACCCTGGTTTGTTCACTATAGTAAATGGTCCCCCAGATTCTCAGATGTCAGAGCCAATAGCTTGAGCAAAACTCCCAGGGAGCACAGAGTTATTAAGTATTAAGAGCCAGACTCACCTATTCTACAGTTGAGGAGACACAGTCAGGGAGGTTAACTGGACAGTCCACATAGACACAGGGCTAGTATGAGGTAGAACAAGAACTCAGACCCCAGGGCCTGAACTCCAGCCCTTCCTGCCTGACTCCAGGCAGTGGCAGCCCTGTAGCTTAGCTCCCCAGGTGACTCCAACAAATGGCACAAAAGGAGGAAGCACCTTGATTTAAAGCAAAGCACCCACATTCCATTCCTGACTCTTTGTTTTGCCATGTAATCTTGAATCAGCCATTTTCTTAGAACTCAGTTCTGACCTATGAAGTAGGAATAATAATACCCACTCTGCCTGTTACAAAAGGTAGCTGTGAAAATCAAATGAGATAATAGATACAAGATAAAATTTTACATACATGTAACTTTATAAAGTTCCTAAATCCTATTCAATATTAAGCTCTCTGGAGACAAAGACTATTCTATTTACAGTTTATAGCCTCATTCTCCTCAACACACAAAGCTACTACTGAAATGTACATGTTTTACAGCCTAAATTCAGAAGTTCTGGAGCTGGGGTTGTGGCTCAGAGGTGGAGCGCTCGCCTACCATGCGTAAGGCACTGGGTTTGATCCCAGTAGAACATAGAAATAAAATATATTGTGTCCACCTATATCTAAAAAATAAATATTTTAAATAAATAAATAAATTCAGAAGTTCCTGTGAACCTCTGTCTGGACAGGCGACACTGTTTTTGTCATTTTAAACCTGGCCCTTTCTCCAAACTTACCTTGGAGCCTTTTGGCCAGCTCTCGAGTAAAAAGCACATTGGCCAGCTTGCTGTGACAGTAGGCAAGACCACTGCAGTAGCGCTTCTCGCCTTGTAGGTCATGGAAGCGAATCTTGCCAATATGATGGACCACTGATGACAGGTTCACCACCCGTGCAGGAGCAGACTCCTTCAGCCGCTCGAGGAGCAGATGGGTGAGAAGAAAGTGGCCTGCAGAGAGAGCCAGCAAAGAGACTGACAGCAGCCTAGGCTCAGGGTATGGGAGCTGATGACAGGACTTCAGCATTAGCTCATTGTCTTCTGGGTGTGAACAAATTCTGATGCCATGAATAACTCAGTGCTAATGGTCATTGTTCCAAGTTAACGGATTCCTCAAAGCAAGGGCCAGAGCTGGACTATGGTAAGGCAATATTAATCTTTATTTGTACATCTGTCTTTGCCTGGGTCAGGGAAAAAAGCCCTCCTGCTCTATGATCATGATTGCTTAACTGTGGACTCAGGTATACTCATGTACAGAGGAAGGATAGAATAGTCAAAGAAAATGACATTTGCCTGGGATCACAGAACAAGTTCCATGCACTCCTCTCTAAAACCATCACCTTGAACTCTGAACCCCCAGATATATGTCTTATACCTCAAGTTCTTGACGTTTGCCTGCCTCCATGGACCAACCCTTGACTTGGTTGCATCTCATATGGATTTGATTCCTCCAGTCACACCCAGATTCCTACATACCCCAAGGCCGGCCCTGCCTGGCAAACTTTGCACTGTCATTATCCCATACAAGAATGATGTCCTCTCCTAAGATTTGGGGTTTCTTTCTGTCTTTTTTCCTTTTTTCTGTACTGGGGACTGAACCCAGAGCCTTGCACATGCTAGATAAGCATTCTACCACTGAACTATACCTCCAACACTTTTTTATTTTTTATTTTGAGACAGGGACTAAGTTGCCCAGGTTAGTCTTGAACTTGTGATCCTCCTGCCTCAGTCTCCCCAGTAGCTGGGATTACAGGACTGTGCCACACAATTCTCAGCTGAGATGTGGGGCTTCTTAATGGTATGGATAGGAAGGCCTTGCTTTTTTTTAATACTGGTTAGGAGAGGGACAATGAATACAACAATGTGTCCGATCTATTGGAATATTGAAATCTAAAGGGACCACTGGAGATTCTCAGCACTGGTATAGGACCATCTTCCTATAGAGAACAAGGGGGATATGCTTAATTTTGGAGTCATGTAAGTATACTTACCCAAATGGTTGACCCCCAGGTGAGTTTCAAAGCCATCTGCTGTCTTGGAATATGGACACAACATCACTCCTGCATTATTAATCAGAATATGGAGTTGTTTTTCTTCTGCCAAGCACAACCAAGGAGAGCCTGTGTTAGTGAGGAGACCAATAGCTACCTGTCACAGCCCTGAGTATTTGTCCCTTGTCTTTGTCCAGAAACACTCTTGTTGCAGAAAGGTTATCGAGAAACTAATGTGACTCCATTTTTGAAAATAAATAAATAACAGCAGCTTCTACCTCAAGGCCTGTCCTAAGGAAGGGGGCATGACCCTTGTCTTTGGAAAAACCCACAGAGCACTCCTAGGCACATACCCACCCTGCTGAGTTGTTTGTCTGCAAATAACTGGAGAGATCTGTGGCACCAGGTGTCCCTGACTCGGTTAGGCTAGGTGGGGACCCATAGCAACCCCCTAGCAACCACCAATCAGCATGAGACAGGGAAAATACCTGGCATGCCAGATGACCCCCTGGTAGTTTATGGTAGTTGATAATATGTTGGGAAACCATGTAGTTTAGCATGTACACCCCTCGTGGCCTAAACCAATCAGTTCAAAGGAATCCCCCTCTTGTACTAACCAATCACCCCTACCCAACTTGTTCCCACCAGTGAATGTGCTAATCAATGTTAAGAGTTGTTGTTTAACTTTCCCGCAGTATGAAATGATTTGCTGTGTGATGTTGTGATGCATAGAGTATCCCCCCAAAACCTATAAAATCTCACTGAACAAAGGACCGGGACTCACTCCCTGGGACCACTGTGTCGGGAATGGTTGTGAGTCCAGGCTCGAGCTTGCAATAAAGACTCTTGTGTGATTGCATAGGATTTGGCTCCTGGAGGTCTATTGGGGTCCCAACAATCTGGCATTACAGTTATCACTCATTCTGCTCCTTTCTTGTAAGACAAGGTATTGCCTAGAAGTCAATAACTTCCCTCACTTGGACCTATTTCAGTGGTATTCAGTAACCATTATCATTGAGTTTCTAGTTTTAGTTGCTTATATCTTCTTGGACACTGTTCATTCATTTATTCAGCAAGTATGTACTAACTACTGACTCTGGGCCAAGCCCACTCTGCTGGGTCCTAAGAATCCACTGGTAAAGAAAAGCAGACCTGGTCCCTGTCCCTCGTGGATTCTATAGTTCTTGGTAGAAGCTGGTCATTTTCCAAGACCCAGAAGAATTTTGGCAGTGGCACAAACTCATCTAGTGCCTGTGGCCACAGAAGGTTGATTTTCTGGATGAAAGAAGAAAGTGGCATCAGGGCCACACCTTGATGCCAAGGAACAAGCCCAGACTGGAGCAGACACCTCCAACACTCCTACTGCAGAGCAAAGAGTTGATAAGGATCCTGCCCAGCTTGTCCACCCACCATTCTCTTGCCAATTCCCTGTCCTGCTGGTTCCTGTAGCAGAACCTGCCCAGTGGGATCATGATAGTTCTGATGCAAGGGCCATAGATGGGCCAGGGTAGAACAGTCATTCCCACTCAGTTTCCTGATTTCTTCACCACCATCTGGGGCCTCACCTGCCAGAAAGCCCTCAGCAAAGGCTCGGATGGATTTGGTGTCAGATAGGTCCAGTTTCCGCACCAGCACCTGGGAGTTCTTTGTATCTGCCCGGATATCGCTGGCAGCAGACTCCCCTTTCAGTACATCTCGGCAGGCAATGTATACTCGTGCTCCTGGGGCCAAGACAAAAAGGGCAATGTGTTCAGATCCTAGGCTGAAAAGAGGAATAATAAGTGAGCTTATTATTATTATTATTATTATTATTATTATTATTATTATTATTATTGAAGGACAGAGCATTCTCCCAGCCACTCCTAAAACAGTGGAGGGATCACATTTCCACTTCCAGATGCTCCTGGGAGCACTGCTCAGTCTTCTTGCTGTTGGCTTAGCCCCAGGCTGGGAACGCTGGTTTTACAATCCTGTATTTAATGCTGCTTAGCATATCCTATTAGAATAACTGACTTGACAAGTATTCTACCTGGACATCATTGTTTTCCTTACTTTATATAATAGGGAAGGAACAGGGAGGAAGGGAGGTGTTGAAAGCCAGAGTAAGTTAGTGTCATGTTGGACTTGAATCCCAGGTTTTTAAATTCCCATGGGAGCTTCCAAGCCCAGGAGGAAGGGCAGAGTCCTCAGTGAGGAGGGCAGGAGGCAAAGCTGTGCAGAGGCAGAAAAGAAAGGACTCACCTCTGCGAGCCAGCTCTCGGGCCGTCTCCTTGCCGATGCCTGTGTTGGCACCTGTGATCACCACTACCTTTCCCGGAAGCTGCATGTTTGTTTTACATACTCCACCAGCAAAAAACTTCCTGCCAGCAAGGGAAACAAAAGCATCACACGCCATCTTTCCCAATCCACACCGAGATGCATAAAATAGAGCCATCCAGCTTCTAAGAAGGATATCTTTTACTTTGGAGTCAGGAGGCCAGAAAAAGATATTCTACATGAGATGTTTTTCCTACTGGGCAAGGTAGTGTCCAGTTCATAAGCGCAAGTTGGAAGGTCGTGGGCCCAGAGACTACGAATGATCACCTGGGCAAAGAGAATAAGTGCTCCTGAGACAGAGCCAATGAGGACTTTCCTTGTCAGATAACAAAGACAACTAACACTTATCTCTGCAGGTTCCCAGGGTCAGCTTCCTCCTGTGACCCACATTCAAAAGACATGAGTGATGAGCATTAGTGGAATGGATGATCCTGAGCCCTAGGTCTCCATTAAGCATCTCTGTGATTAGCTGATGAACAACAACATCCCAGAGGGCAGCACACGGCTGTCTCTCCTGTTCTAGAGAGTGGGGAATCCTCAGAGCCTTTCTGCCATCATATTACAGATTTCATTCTGGCCCTTGTCACATAGAAAGAAAACTTCCTTTGTTGACTTTTCAAGTGACAGAGAGAGAGAGAGAGAGAGAGAGAGAGCGAGCCCAACCCTGACCAGAGAAGAGCACAGCTAACAATTCCTAAGCATCATTTGACTACTACCAGGTACCAGGCTAGGGGCTTTCCGTACATAATTTATCTTAATCCTCTCAGCCACTCCAGTATTATCTCTACATGACAGTGGAGAAAACTATGGCCCAAAGAAGTTAAAACCACTTCTTTAAAAAAAAAAAAAAGAGAACAAATATATATATATATATATATATATTAGTTGTTGATGGTCCTTTATTTTATTTGCTTATTTATATGTGGTGCTAGTAATCGAAACAGTGCCTCACGTGTACAGGGCAAGCGCTCTACCACTGAGCTACAACTCCAGCCCCTTAAAGACACTTCTTATGGGGGCAGAACGGGAATTTGAACCCAGGTCTCTATGCTAGGACCTAAAATGACACTTCTTCCCTGATATGTCCATTTAACCTTCTTTATCATCAGGAAGTTAAAAATTCTCTGTTCAATGTACACATTTCTTTAACACGTCCAGAAGTCTCAGGCTACAGAGTCATCCCAAAACTTTTATTGAGGGTAGTTATCAAAGGGAAGAGTTGGTTTCCTTCCCAGGGTGCCTGGTACTTAACAATGAGTTAAGTAATGTCCCCTGCCATACACACAACCTCGCTGGTCCACCTTGATTAGGGACAAGAGAAGAAAGGGTGAGCTTCGGAGAAACTCAAGGAATCGAGTAAAAGAGCCAAGACTCCACCTAAGATGACTCTTGAGCTGCCTACAGAGTCATCCCCGCAGCCTTCCTCTAGCACCAGACCTCAAATCGGCCCCACCTCCACAGCCCAAATCCTCCCTTCTCATTTTCCACCATGGTATCCATAACCTCTCTTTATTTCCTGCCTTTTCTGCTCTAACTTTCTCTCCCTCAGCCTCCTTCCTTGTATCTTTTTTTCCTCTCCTTACAGTGCAGGGTTTTGTAAGCTAGTGTTATAATTTGTTGAATTAAGACAAACCTGATGGATGGAGCTGTCACATACAAGAGCGAAAAGAAGGAGGTGAGAAGTCCCAAGATAACCAGCATCTTTTTGATGTCTTTAGTTGCTGCTGCTCCAGCTTCAACCGCAACTCTGGCTCGGGCTCAGAATCTGGCTTGGGCTCAGGATCTGGCTCCAACTCTTGGCTGCTTTGGCTGCTTCTTGCTCCTCTCACGCCTAGGCGCTCAGCAACAGCTTGGCTCTAAGCAGAACCCAGAATCCTATTTAAATCCGAGAGCTGTCAGAGCACAGCCTCCTGGGAGTTGTAGTCCTGGAGCAGAGAGACTAGAGGAAAGATTAGATCCTTATACTTACTTGCAAAGAAAATTTGGGGGAAACTGGAATAATGGCCTCCTAGCTCTACCACCCCCAATTTTGTCTACTTTCTAGAAATGTGTTCTCCCAAACAACCAATCTCTACTCCTGTAAGAGAAAATACTGTAAACTTTAGTAACAGATCTCATAAAAGCTGGGCATGGCGACACATGCCTGGAGTCCCAGCTATCAGGAGTGGGAGGTGGTAGGATTGCTTTAGCCCAGCAGTTCGAGGCCAGCCCCGGGCCATAGTGAGTACCCATCTTGAAAAATGAAACAAAACAAAACACCAGATTATGATGATTGAAATACATGTGTAATGAAAATAGAAAGAAGAAGAAACTCTCAGAGGAATGGTAAACAAGATCAGGAGAGTGGTTACCCTTGGGGAGGAAGGGGCAGTGACTGGGAGGGATTGGTTGGAGCTACTGGGGGATTGGTAGCGTTCTCATCTTTGACCTGAATGCAGGTACACAGGTGCATTCACTGTGAAAATTTGTTGAGCCATACACATTTGATTTGTGCATTTCTCTGTGCCTTATGTTATACTTTGATGGAATTCACACACTCATCCATATCTACATACAAGCTCTATGGCTCTGAGAAAATTACCAAACCTCTCTGTTAACTCAGTGTACTCACTTACACAATGGGTATGATATATATATATCCACTTGTTTTAAATATTCAATTATTAAATAGGTAGAAAAATCAAGACAAACTAGCACATACTAAACATGTAGAAGAGTCAGCTGTTATATTTTGTTGAATTGATTCCTTTCTTCCTAGATATACCACTTGCTTTACTCAGGGTTTGGTGTAGAAAGGGAGACATGATGAAAGAGGGTGCCATTTTTTTTTCTTTTAATCCAGAGGTGCTTTACCACTGAGCCACATCTCCTGCCCTTCTAATTTATTTCATTTTATTTTATTTTATTTTTTTTGAGACAGGGTCTTGCTAAATTGTTGAGCCTGGCCTCAAACTTGACATGTTCCTGTCTCAGCTTCCCAAGATTACAGGCGTGTGCCACCATACTTGGCAAGGGTGACGTTTAACTTAATGCAAAAGCAGGGCACTGTAGTACACACCTGTAGTCCCAGCTCCTCAGGAGCCTGAGGTGGGAGGATCACTTGAGTGCAGGAGTTGGAAGCTGGCCCAGGGAATATCTACAAAACAAAACAAAACAACACAAAAGATGGGGCAAACACAGTGAAAAAGCTAGCTTCAACTCACAGGCTCTGGTGTATGAGGGGATGGGAGGGGGACATGGTATTCGTCATCCTTGTTCACTCAGCTTTTCTCTCCTGGGTAGGAAGGCAGGCAAGGAGCTGGGATGCAATCCCAGGAATCATGCCCCAGTTCTATTCCTACCTTCAAAGCCATAGGACAACTTTTACAGGAAAGAAGACTCCTTGGCGGACATGTGTTCACGCCCGTGTTCATCAATTCATCTATCCACCCAACCTACACTTACTGAGCACTTCTCAGTGCCAGGCCTGTGCTCGTTGTGGGGAAGACACAGTTCCTGCCCCTCAGGAAACTCATGGGCCTGACCACCAGAAAGGCTGATCAGAGGGTTCCCAGAGGGGACCTCTCCTGACTCAAATCCAAGATCCCCTGCACTTAGGAAGTGGTAACTCTGTTTATCCTGAGTGTGTCTGTGAGGTAGAGAGCCATAAAGAACAGTATGTAGAACTCTGGAGAAGAGATACATTAGAAGGAATACAAAGCATCTAGAATTATGGAAATACACAAATGGCTTGCTAAAAACAAGTCCAAAGACCATTATCAGAGTGGTATTAGTTGTACCAAAATGTTAAATTATAGAATAAAGCTATAATAATAATCTGTTATAATAATAACACTACCATTTAGTGTGTTACAGATAGGTGAACAGACAAAAAGAAAATCAAAACAACAGAATGGAATGCCAAAAAATAGACCCAACTTCATATGGGCAATTAGATATGATTAAAATGTCGTCTCAGATCAGTGAGGGTGGGGGAGTGGATTATTTAATACAATATTATAATATCTAGGTATACAGTTAGGAAAAAGTAAATAAGTACCTTACTTATTTTACACCAAAATTCCAATTCATTAAAGACATAAATATGAAAAATTAAATCATTAAAATATTAAGAAACACCATTGGATAAATGTTTAAATAATTCGAGTGGTAACAGCTTTCTAGTGACTAAAACTAAAACTAAAAAGGCAGATAGGCTTAAAAAACTCTTCATGATATGAACCACCACACACAAGGAGAGACATGTGAGAAACTGAGGTGGGAGTACCTGCAAATCATGTGCTATGAAGCAGAGCTGGAAAGATGCTCTCTGACTTGACCTTTGGTTGGCATTTGTCAATGAAGTCATGCTGCAATGGCCACTGGTCACCTCTGTCCTGGCTACCCTATTTAGAACACATTACTAATTTATTTAGAATCCAAAGGACTCTTACAAATCAAAAAGAAAAAAGAATAATAAGTGAGTTGAAATACAAGTTAACAGGAAAGGAAATGCAAATGGCTCTTCAACCTCACTCCCAGTAAAGAGATGCAAATTAAAATCACACTGGGAACCACTTTTCACTTACCAGATTGGCAAGGACTAAAAAGAAGATTAATATCCTCCTCCAGGGAGAGTGTGAAGAAACAACGCTGATGCACTGGAGTGGGCGGTGGATCCTTTCAGCCTCCGTTGACAGTGCAGCTACATCACAGGTCAAGTTTCAGATCAGGTGCACTTGCTCCCCTTGACCTAGACATCCCACTTCCTTCTATTTACAAGGTTTTCATTGCAGCATTGTATATAATATCAAAAGCTTGGAAGCCTTCTAAATATCCACCCAAAACACAGCAGTACAATAGATACTACACTGATTTTTTTTAACATTCTGATAAAGAAAAGTAGGGAGCAAAATTGTATCTTTAATATGCTAATATTTGTTTAAAAATGGAGGGGAATATATAGACCTATTTGGTTTTTTAAAATATTTTTTTAATTGTTGACGGACCTTTATTTTATTCATTTATTTATATGTGGTGCTGAGAATTGAACCCAGTGTCTCAAGCATGCTAGGCAAGCGCTCTACCACTGGGCCACGACCCCAGCCCTAGATCTATTTGTATATGCATAGAATATCTCAGAAAAAAAAAGACAAGAAATGGTTGCTTTTTGTTTGTTTGTTTGTTTGTTTTGGGGGGATGGGTACCGAGGACTGAACCCAGGGGCACTTTACTACTGAGTCGGATTCCCAGCCCTCTTTTTTATTTTTTATTTTGAGACAGGGTCTCACAAAGTTGCTTAGGGCCTCACTAAATTGCTGAAGCTGGCCTCAATTTTCCATACTCCTGCCTCAGCCTCCTGAGTTGCTGGGATTGCAAGAGTGTGCCACCATGTTTGGCGAAATGGTTGTTTCTAAGGGACAGGAATGTAGGAGGTTTTTCACTGATTTTTTTCCCTTTTGTACCTTCCCTTATATCTATCACCTATTAAAAATTAAAGGTTTCACCAAAAAGATCCATATCACTTTGAAACAACTCACTTGTTTATTTTTGTTAAATTAATCATCACAATATCACAAAATAAAGCTATCTTTCAAAACAGCATTGAGACTAACATGCTTTGCCCCATACTGAAGACTATGGACCAATCCGACACCTATTTTTAGGGAATTTCCCACTGAGACAGATGCAGATATAAGTCACAGAAAGAAAGGGATGAAAACACAGAGGAACCCGTACAAGAATGGACATGAAATTCAGCCATAATGAAGAGCACGCATGACTTGCAACACTGCTGAGCAGGGCCCTCTGGCCACCTCACCTCTAGTGAATCACAGGTCAAGTTTACAGGTCAGCCATCCTCCCAGGGCTGACACTGAGGTGGGAGTACCTGGAAATCATGTGCTGTGAAGCAGAGCTGGAAAGATGTTCTCTGACTTGACCTTTGGTTGGCATTTGTCAATGAAGTCATGCTGCAATGGCCACTGGTCACCTCTGTCTTGGCTACCCTATTTAGAACAGTCTTAAGAGTCTCAGAAGGTGGAAACTGTAAATACCTCCTTCTCCTCCATCCTGCTTTTCTCCTCCCCTAGTTTTCAAACCACAGATTCAGAAGCCAGAAAAGGCAAGTGGAAGGTTACAAATCCAATCGTCCTACTATAGACTCAGCCCTGTTTCCCTAAAAGGCCTTGTATAGCACCACATTAGTATTTACATTTCCAATAATGAGAAACTGCCTCTTCCCACATCCCTTCCCCAAATGGCACCAAAATAGAAGTATATTTTTTGTATTCATTTTACCCAACAAGAATGATTTATTATTCCTTTTTCTTGATTTTAAAAAGTGAAACAAACTGGGTTCCATGGCACATGCCTATGTAATCCCAGCAGCTCAGGAGGCCAAGTCAAAGGGATTCAAAACCAGCCTTAGCAACTTAGTGAAGCCCCCTCTCAAAATAAAAAAAGTAAAAATAAAAATGACTGGGGATGTAGCTCCATGGTTAAGAGACCCTGAGTTCAATCCCCAGTACCAAAAAAAAAAAAAAAAGTGAAACAAACACATCATCTTTCTTTAATTTTTTTTTTTCTTTTGCTGCCACTGTGTAACTTCCAACCCTTACCTTTAACCTACCAAAAGTACTCTTCATATTCAGGGCCAAATAATTCTTTCTTGCTAGGGGATGTTTAGCAGCATCCCTAGCTCCTGCCCACGAAAATGTAAATTGTACTGTAAAATTCTTTAAACTTTTATGAAGATGTTTGTAACATTACAATCCCTTGTGACAACCCAAAATATCCCTAAACATTACCAAGCGTCCTCTGTGGGGCAAAATTGCCCCTATTTGGGAACCACTGCCCTCCAAGATATACGGCCTACAGGAGAACCCTGATATATGTTTGTTTGAGGGAGTTTTGTATATTTTTGGTTGTTGTTGTTTTGCTTTGCTG